GATATGAGTGCATAGAAAACACTGCCTCTAACAGTTCTTCTATTCTTTGTGTATATGTTGCCACAGGGCTGTGTTTACCAAGGTGATCCCCAACAACAGCCCAGGAACATGTTTACCAAGCCATTTCCTAGCAACACTAGGGAGACAGACACAGAGAGCAAGGTGATCTCATAAGTTTCCTTTAATTTTCTTTTTAAAATAAGGAAAATAGGCTAGAAAAAAGTGCCAAGAGTGTCAAAAATTTTTGTTTACAATGAACAGGGGAAAACATCCATTTGCAGAATTTTCAATTTTCTGTATTCTTAATTCTCAGTGCTTCTTTATGACAAAAGATAATTTTGATCCACTGATATTATGGATAGTTTGCTCTTCATTCTATTCAACATTCTTACCTGGCAATGCTTCTTCATGTAGTACATTGTGAGCAATCAGTGTGCCACTACCAATTACTCATTCATCTTCAGTTACCAAATATACAGTAAACAGACTTCAGATCTGTTGAATCTGAGCTTCTCATGGCAGTGGCTATGAAGAGTACTATCTGAAATGTTAGTAAACTTCTACCAGGCTAGACGGTATCACAACCCACAAGGTAGTACTCTTCAAACTCCAGTCAGTCTTCTAGGAACACAGACATTATCCTGACAGCAACAAGATCTCACAAGCATCTTATATAGGGTGTTTCATAAATAAGGAACAAACATCAAAGTTCCTATTTAACAAGTATATGACACATTACTGAAGGCTAATAATTTAAATTTCGTCCATTGTCCTAGTTTTCTATATAAAAACCACAAACTTTAGGAAATAGGTTATATTTCCATCTCCAGGTAGACAGGATATGAAGACAACCTCAATTTGCTGGGACTCTAGGTAAAGTTACAATCATGCTGCATCCATCTGAAGATGGAAACATGACACATTTTTTAAATGTTATGGTTTTCATACAAAAAATTATTATATTTACATATGAGGCAGCTTTGAACAAAGTTCAAAAGGCATAGCAACTTGGAATCAATTAATCTGCAGTCAAAAATGTTTGAAAACAATAATCATAAACAGTCAATCAAACTCCAAAAGTAAAACAGAAGCTTGTCCAGAGGTTAAAGTAGTGGTACAGGTTTCAAACTCTGGTCTGCTAATAGCATAGATACTGTCAATATTAACGGCAGCTTCAACTACTGTCAAAACATTTACAGTATTCATACAATTTCATTTCATCACCCCCCCCCAAAGTCTAAAAAAATCTGAATATGAACACAATTCTCATAATTGCAAAGAGAGAAACTGGAAAATGAACATAATTTGGGGATGATCTGTTTCAACAGTTTTAAATTCAATGTACTTGCTCTGAGCCTTACGAATACAATGAACTTCAAGTAGATGAACAATAAATCGGGAAGGATTTGGAAGACGAACACTGCACTGTATATTTTAAGATGCTACAACAGAATCAGGTTGGAGGGAGTTAGATAAGTATAAGCCTACTCAGGAGAGCTCATCTCTATGATTTGACCCTAGGTTCTCCAATTGATAATGAGATATATAAGATTTAAAGTTCTCATGGCAGTGAATATAAAAATTACTGTCTCCTGGTATGTGACATAATGTAGTGTGGTAGATTATTACCAGAGTTTTGGAAGAACATGCTGCTTCCATCATCAGGGCATTTCCAACACCTTAAGACTACACAATCATTCCCCACAGTGATATAGGTATGAGTTCATAATCATGCATGATTGCCTATATGACAAGTGTTGGTCACTCTCTGGGCTCTCTTACTGCTCTGGAGCATCTACCTAGCTCCAAAGGGCCATTTACCTCCAAGAAGAAAATATGAAGAACAGAAGACCAGTAGGAAGACACAAATCTAAGTGTCAATAAAAGTACTAAAATATGTCAAGTAGGAAAAGTGTGGAAGCAGTAAAGGAAGAGAGATTCTAGGACATGAAAACTGAAAAATAAGATGGGGAATATATGTTCCACTGGTGACAGCAATGATGACTATAGTAATCATACATTTCTTTCCAAACTTTTAACATCATTTCATTATTAATTACTGCTTTAATTCAAGCCTCCCAATATATGGACTATTGTAAAAGCAATGCGTTGCATAATCTGTTTACATGCCCTATATTTCATTTAGCAAATTCACTTGTATAGAAGGACATTAGACAGCAATGTCATCATATATTTAACGAGACTTCTGGATTCTGTTCAGTGCCACAGAGAGCAGAGCAGTAATTTCCTTCTGGCCCTTGTGAGCATAGTTTTGGGTCCTGTCAGAACCCATGACCATATTTCTGTTCATTCCAGCACCATCTGTGTTTTGAAATCGGGTCTCCTCTTCGACGTGATGAGGGGCAGATGTCACATTTGTTGTGGCGCCCAACGACTGATTGCTAGCATGGTCCACAGAGAGCAGAACAGTAATTTGATGCTAGCCTTTACCAGCCTTTCAGTATAACACAAGACTTTCATATCTCCTGGTACAATCTTCACTGTCACTTCTCACACCCTCGAACCCACCCCCTTGTCTGAAATTTTTCTTCTGCGCATTCAAGGTTACTCTTGGCCTTGTTCGAAGTTACGTGACACTTGCTTTAATAGTTTTTCCATATATTGCTTATACTTTGTGTATTTCTTGACAGATCCTTCGGGTTTATGGGACATGCATATTTCATACGGGGGGCAATAGTTTGATATTAGTTGGTAGAGTATGACATTTTTGGGACAGCTGTACTTGTGAAAGTGGAATCTGGACCTTGTACCCAGACGTACATCAGTCTCCTTGCATGTGACTTGGCGAATCCTGAAACCTAAAAGGACAGCTATTGGAGAATATGAGGGCTCATGGCAGTGAGTGTGGAAGTGAGCACAGGCTATCCTGTACCCAGATATCTCTCTATACGAGATGGAAGTCATAAGGCTGATAAGGCAAGTCTGTGCCGAGAGCTCATATTACATGCTGTAACAAACACTTCAAGCTAGTTACTCTTATCCTCATATGAATCGATTCAACGCTCCCTCACCCAATCACATGCCAGGCATGATGCGATACATTCCAATGTTAATCAAGTTTAAAGGTGCACAAGGACAGTAAAAAGATCCTACACTTAATTTTGAAGAAAATATTATAACATACATATATTATCAGAAAAAACACATTGTAATTTGGCTTGAGGGATCCCAGTTTCTCCCTTTACATAGGAATGTGAAATAACTGTTCGTTCCTTCAATATAAAACATCCAGTACACAGAGGAAACAGAAATCAGAATGGATATGTCTTGTAAAACACTGACCTACCGTTGTGATGAAAATCACATTCACAGCAGCAGTTTGCATACGCCACAATACATTGTCAACTCTGTCTGATGCAGCGAACACATAAAGCCAACTTCTGTACCACAAAAACAATTCTGAGAAGAGCACTAACAGGTTTCTCAGTTATCAGTCTGCTTGTATTCAGCACATTCAGCAGCACACTAATGTCTTTTATTTGCTTTCATTTTATACTTCGTGATCATGATAAATGACCAGCCCAGAAAGAACTTACAGTTACTCTGGACAAAATATCCAACATAAAACAGACAAATGTTTTACAGATCACTTACAATCAGTTTCATGCACCTATCAATCCTCTGTCTAGCTCCTGGGAAGACACACACCTTCACAGAAATTGGTTTGAGGCTTTTGTAATTACATCCTGAGAATGATATAAAGGTGCTCTCTCCAACAGTTCAAAATAGAGAGGAAAAGCATTGCAGAAACTGAAAATATGTCACAATGCCATGTTGCTGCTTCTAGTTCAGAAGTTCTTATGTTTAAGGACTGCAAAGCATTTTTCTCTCTCTCTTTCAACTGCACAGAATGGCTGCAAACACCAACATTGCTTTATTTTCCATTATTCAGCAAACAGGCAGTTACTGTACCCATAATTGGAGTCCCACAAACATATATCATTACTCTGAAAATAACCAATGCCAGGAGAACCACCAGATTATCAGAACTAGTGCAGCATTTTGAAATTGTTACAATAAGTCTGAGAGAGTTGAGTTACATGCCAACAGATAGATAACTTAAATTTTAAGGGAAGTAAATGCCAAAAGCAATGTTCTTGTAGAACATGGTCACAGAACATAACCTTATTAACTTTTCCCATGTCGCATATATTTCATATTTTTACTGTAGTGGACTTATATGAGGGAGGAAAAGACAGTACCAACAATATAATTGGAAAATTGTAATGGAAAAAATAAACAGAACTTAGGAATGTGGGATGTGAGGTTTTCATGGTGATGACTAGGAAAAATATTGTCTTCTGGGATGTGATACTGTGTTGTCTGTCTCCCTCTTCAAGACAGACCTTGAATACAGAGGCTGCAGGTGTAACCAAAACGTTGGTAACTATCTATCAGGCCACACCATAGCTCAAGCGGATAGTCGCTGACTTCCCACCACAGCAGCCCATGTTTGATCCCGGGTCTGGTCAAGTGGGATTTGTGGTGGACAAGGTGGCGCTGGGGCAAGTTTACTCCGAGTACTTCAGTTTCCCCTGCCAATCTTCATTCCACCAATTGCTCCACAATCACCCTCACCTATCATCTGGGGCTGGTACAATAGGCCAGATGTGGCTACAGAACAAGAAACTTAGTCCCAACCCACTAGCAAAAAAAAAATACTATCTATCAGACTATATGGCATACCATGAGGCAGCATTCTTCAGAACTTGGTACTTTCAGTAAGTTTTTACAACATGGGAAGGGTCAAAGTAAAAAAAAGTAAAGATATCCCTGTAACAGGCTGTGGAGGCTCATAGGGTTGCAAGATGTTGAGGTTCCCACATTTTCTAGACAATTGGGTCATAGATGGTGGAAAGGTTGTCAGCCCTACGTGCCTGCCACCCTCCCAAGAATATTCCTGGTACTCATTTCTGTTAGAGGCTGAGTCGACCCCAGGGACATAGTGCAGCTGGAAGGATTAGGTCAACTGAAAAAAATCCAATGACTTCATCAGGATTTGAACACGCAACCTTCCAGCTTGTAGCTTAGTGCCTCAACCAACTAGGCTTCCACGGGGTAAATGTGAATTAGTACGGAATTTTATTTTACCATGGTGCTTACTGCATTCACTTTAAACTTCAATGGCCAAATGCAACATGGTCACCTACAGCTTCTGTTATCTTATGATAATGTTGTAGCATTCGGAACATTTACATAATTATTCCTTGCTTTGTCATAATTGTCCGCTTTAGAGATGGAAAACATTTCTATATACAAAGGCAGGAACCGCTGTTTCAGTGGATAAAGTTTAAATGTGCATCTGAGGATATGTTTCTTCTATAACACAGAAAGATATCTCACAAGGGTTCCTCTAAACAGATATTTTCAACTTCTACTCGTATATGAAGGCAGAGAGCCAGAAATCAAAAAACTACTTTCCTGTATTCAGGGGGCTGAATTCATCAAAATCTTGGCATTAATATTTCCATGATCACATTTTCTCATGTCACACATATATAGGCGAAAATAAAAGTGAAGGTGAAACAGGAATATCATCTGGGTATATGGGTAGATCAACATAAAGTCTCTCTAAAACTTGCATACATGTGAGCATGAGTAACCTCACAATTTCTAAGTCACAACTGTTCAAAACATGACTACAAGATCTTGCCTTTTTTGTGACAATGGACAAGTTTCAAATGTCTAATAAATCTCTTGTCAGGTCTGAATGTCTTCAATGGAAACCCCATTTCATTTTAACCTTTTACCATTAGATAGCAGGAAATATTTTCTTCACAATATCATGGCATAACAGGAGGTGAAGAGTGACTTCAACTCTGAAAGCAGAATATTTGTCCTTAGAAATGCATTGTACACAGAGGACATAGATCTACATCTGAAATTTGTCTGTAAAAGAGACTAAAGTCCAAGTATTTGCCACATTTGTGTATAATCTACATTTTACAAACCTTGTGTAATGCCAGGCATTTACTCACCACTAGAAGAATTTTATGTTCAGTACAAAACTAAATCCTAGTAGACTGGTCCCTCTTCTTTGGATTAAAGAAAACTAGTGAAAATGATACATTCTACTATTTTAAGACAAAAAGGTAGTATTATGTTGAGATTGTGGTCCTAACTATTCACATTTCTCTCATTATAAAACACAATTTCAAAGCTAAAGAGGTATTGTATGTGACCAAAGAGTATAGTGGTCAGAATTCAGGTCATAATCTTCTGGAATATGACATGTAATAATGTTAACAGGTACTGTAACAGATCTGATTAACATGTTGCCAGGCAATGGCTCTGTAAACACGGTCCAATATTCAACAATAGATGAAGATGTGTTTTCTAAGCCATCTGCACTGAGCTGCAGTGGAACAATGGGGTTATGCAGCTAACTTCTAAGCAACGGCTCACTAAATACACACCGTGTAGGCAGTGACATCACACAACGTGGATAGAGATCACGTGACATGTTTTCTGTAGGTCTATGCCAAAGGTTTGTGGGGGACAGCAAAGGCTGTTTGCAGTCAGTCGTAAGCTGGAGGAGCGAGTAATAGATGGACTTCACTTGAGTTCCGAAGTTCAAAAGAAAATAGTTACAGCAGTCTTGAGAGTGTAAGAACTAACTGTAGTTATGACCTGCAGGTGGTTAATAAATCCAATTACCAATCAGAACCCTGTATTTAGTCGCTGTGACACCTGACAGTACCAATGTTTTGGATGAACATGCTGCCAGAAGATGAAGATAGCAGGCTGTTACAAAATGTTGGTATCTACCTAACATACTACATGGCACTACATTCCAAAAGACCACAATCTGAAATCTAAAATGATATCCGATCATCACAGTTGTCTACGATGTGACGCCATGTAATGTGGTAGAACATTATTAATATTTTGGAGGAATACACTGCCCCCATCTTCATGGTAGAAGGGTAAAAATTGGAGATGAAGGCTATATTTCCTCTCAAAATAGTGTAATGATCCACCAGACTACATGATGTCACATCCCAGAAGAAAACCCGAACTCTCAAAAAAGAATGGTACCCACTTTAACAGGAAAACTACAAAAAAATTTTAAGGCACGCAGTTGTTAAAAAACATTTTTTTCAATCAATAAAGTGGACATGGAAATAAGTTTATGAAATTAACTCCACTTTCAACATTAGCTTAAAAAAAAAATGTCAATTCTGAGATGTCATATGACTGGAAAATCTACACAGTTCAAACTCATGACGGGTTTAAGATATGCACATTGCAGCTTGCATTAACACTAGGAACACAGGTGCAAGTCCTGCTTTGAGAATGGATGCCTGTCTGCCTATTCCTATACTGTTCTTGCAAAAATCTGAGCCACCAACCATGGGATCATAGCACTTCCCATAATAAGGACCTAGCAAGCCTTTATGTGAGAGTTGTCCTAACCTAAAATCAGGTTTTAGCAGCAAGAATAATAATCTAGAGGTGTGCAAATATAGTGCAACATCAAAAGACTACTGAAACCTCAATTCCAGCACCTCACCTTCCAACATGACCCTGAAACAAAATTGGTGTCTGCAGCCAATGAATCACCCTATTGAAGGCTCAGTCTTCCTGGGTTATTACAGCCCAAGATGAACGGTGTCCATCTAGAAGAGCAAGAAGGAGACTCGTGTACGTCGTGCATCTCCCTTGGCCCGACGGGCCATTCCAAACTGTCAGATGGATGGGTCCGTTCCTGACCCGGTGCCCAACTTTCCGCCCTCGCCACCGGCTCCTGCTCCAGTTCCATCCTCCTCTCTGAATGGGGAACCTGACACGCCGCTTCGTGATGACAGTCCGCGGAAGTCAAGGTTATACTGCAATAAATGAAAATGGCTTTAGATTGAGGACAATGGGATGATGCCATGTAGAAGTAAAAGTAAAGTTGTCCCTGTGTCTAATTAGTTATGCACTATGCCATGAATAAGGCCGCGCCACAGCTCAAGCGGTTAGTCGCTGGCTTCCCACCGCACCGGCCTGGGTTCGATTTCGGGTCTGGTCAAGTGGGATTTGTGGTGGACAAAGTGGCGCTAGGGCAGGTTTTCTCCGAGTACTTCGGTTTCCCCTGCCAATCTTCATTCCACCAATTGCTCCACAATCACCCTCACCTATCATCTGGGGCTGGTACAATAGGCCAGAAGTGGCCACAGTACAAGGGACTTAGACCCACCCCTCTTGCAATAAAAAAAATTCCATGAATACATATGGGTGAGTGGAGGTATAGCTGCACCACTATTGACCTCAGCACTAGATGGAGGCGTGGTCAGCTTCACACACATGCCTGGTACCCATTTGAGAGGAGGCTGGGTAGGCCCCACAGCCAGTCAGGATGCTGTGGAGAAGAGAAGAATATTGCACTGCTTGGAATCAAACCCAAGCTGTCCAGCCCACAGCCTGTCACTATACCAATTGAGCTATGCCAATTGGAGGATATTAAAATGTACCTTAAAATAAGACGGTAATGATCAAAATTCTCTATTCTGTAATCTCCTTGCTTATTCAGGTACCGCACGAGGGAAACAATTTTGAGGTTAGGAAGACTTCATAATTGTGAAGATTTTCTGCTGTATGCTGTACAGTATGGTAAAAAAAAAGTAGAGCTATCCCTGTACCAGGCCGTGAAGGCCCATAGGGTTGTGAGACGTTGAGGGTCCCACATTGTCTAGACAATCAGCTCAAAGATGGCTGTAAGGTCGTCAGCCTTACGCTCCGGCCACGCTTTACTCCCCAGGAAAATTATTTAATTAATTCCTGGTACTCATTTCTGTTAGAGACTTAGTGAACCCCAGGGCTTAGTGCAGCTGGAAGGATTAGGTCAACTGAATAAAATCCAATGACCTCATTGGGACTTGAACCCGTGACCTTCCGGCTTGTAGCATAGCTCCTCAACCACTACGCTACCGCTACAGTATGTGGCTATGCATAACAACAGGGGAATCAAAATGGTTACTTCACTGATACGCAGTCAATGTACAGTAAAGCTGGGTGGCTTTAAGACTGCAGTCTTCTGGGACATGACGCTGATTAGTGTGGGAGATGGTTGTGAATGCTATGAAAAAAATATATTGCGTCCAATTTTGGGGTCAAATAGATTAAATTAGATTACAGGAGCAGGCATTCCACAATGTCTGTACTGCAACTGTCATGGCCAATCTTAAGATACTGTCACTCACTTTGGTGGCGCAAGTGAAACACGTCGTCACCACTTTAGAAATTACATCCATAAGGCCCTTGGTCTCCTGAATCACATTGTCCACCTTCGTGAATGTGGCAGCTTTGCCAACTGTGGGGTTCTTCACTGTGAACTGCAGCTGTTGCACGTACGTAGGAACACGATCCAGATTCTCCAGTAACTCCTTTTTATGGATTCCTCCAGGAACCTAAACATAAACACAGGCCAACTTTTTAGGTTATACAGTGAGCAATATTAAAAGTATTGGGTACCATACACCACATTTCTGAGCTCTTGAAACATATAAGTCAGAGGTAAAAGGTAAAGCTGTCATTGTGCTTTGTTAATTAAGCATCACATCATGAAGATATATGGGAGAGTGAAGGTAGAGCTCCACCATTCTTGATCTTAGCACTAAATGGAGGAAAGTGGTCAGCCTCACACCCCTGCCACTTTACCTCCAGGAAAACAGCCCCAAATGCCCACTGTATATCAGGCTGGGTGGGCCTCAACAGTTGGTCTGGATGCTATGGGGAAAAGAAAAATCTTGTGTCACCCTGTTTCTGGGGGATATTAATATGGGGACCTGGCCCTCCAGGCTGTGGGAATCTTGAATCTGAGACAGTAAAATATAGTCATGAAGCCTGCAGGACTTGGACCCGAGAATGACTACACTGGCGAGGACCAGCAGCAATTGTAAACAGCATTACCATTCTACTGTCAGAGAGGGCACCGCACATCAACAACCTGCAACTGTCTGATAGTAACAAAAATCTGCTCTTTGGCCCCATATGGGTGCTTGACACTGAGACAAATTGGCTGACTGGCCATCGGTCATAACATAACTTTGACTTACAGTTGGTCACTTTTGAGTCAGAGGTTGGAGTCAGCAGTTAGCAGCACAGTTCGTGATTAACTGTCAGATGTCTCCATAGTCGCCGTAACCTAGCAACGCCTAATGAAGACATAACAAACTGAGAAGGCTTAGTGTAAGCTGTAGTGATTTGTAGAGTATGTGAAGTAGCAAGAGTGTTATAATTATTTGTAGATACAAGTTACAAATGTTCAGTAAATCCAGTTATCAATCCAAACCCAGTTTCTAGTTACTAACACATGAAAATATAACTGGACCTCAACGTATTAACTGCCCCCCCTACAAATGGATGAATTTCTGTACCTGATATGAGAACTGCCGCACCACTTTGTACAGCCTGTTGGCCTCCTCGGCAAAGTACTCGGCCTGGGTGAAGAGGTCCTGTGTCGTCTTCAGAGCACCTTCTCCTCTTGTGAACTGGTACATGGAGAAGGCCATACTGCTCATGTTCTTCGCTCGCTTCACTATGTCGTTGTTTTCCTCCAAAGCAGCACCTCCACCACCACTCTCCTGCCACTTATCAGTTTCGGCATCCATCTCTGATGTAATCAGCTTCATCTCGAGACCAGCTTTAGCAATCTTAGCTTGTTCCTGTTAACGAGCATTTCACCTTAGCTTTTCAACACTTTTATCACGACATTTTTTTTAAAATACTGACATGGCCTCAAGAACCAATTCTGGTTTTACTGTGTTTCTTGTTATATTAATGTTTACCTGGAAAAAAGTTAACTATTTTGATTTACTGTGTAGTTCATGTAGCTATGCTATCAGCAATTCAGACTATAAACCTTTGAATGTTTGGATAATAATGAATCGGAAAGGACAGGGAAGGAAGTGGTCATGAAGTTGTTTATGGTACTATTCAGGCATTTGCCTGGAAGGACTTAGGAAAATCATCAAAAATCTCAGTCAGGACAGTCAGTGTCCTGCTCAAGATTCAAATCAGACATCTGCACATTATAAGTCTGAATCATTACTGCTTCTGCCAATTTTCTCGATATTGCCACTTAAGATTATATTCTTTAAACAGGAACAATGATTCAATTATTCAGGGTTGGCCCAGTAAACACGCTAGATAGATACCAGTATACTGGGGATTGTCCTCAAACAGTTAAGGGTAAGTTCCAGTATTACAACATGGAAATACCATCCCATGTCATGAGTGTCTATACTGAAGGGCCCATTTATGCAATACAATCTCACCTTGTCCTTGCACAGGGGAAAGCCTGGTCATCATAAAATAACAGGGCCTAACATGACATAACCATATGCATTTTTTTTTCCTGTGGTGCTACAGGCCTCTATCTGTAGATAAACACAGAAAAACGCACACAAACATCCATGCCCTGAGTGGGATTCGAACCCACGATCCCGGCTTCCGAGCGAGCGAAGACAGTGCATGCCTTAGACCGCACGGCTACCGTGACCAGCTATAACCATATGCATATATAACAATATTTTTATATATGGATGTGGAGAAGTACAATACTTATTCAAAATATTACTGTTTGCAAATAATTAGTTTAATTTTTACCTCAGAATCCAATCGAACAGGCTTCAAAGGTTTACTGGTTGTACCATGTTTCTGTAAGAAATTAATACAATTTAGAATGGCTTATGGAACATGAATTAAAAAAATCATACACAAATGAAGGAAGCATGCTCCTTCAGATCCTCAACAAGGGACATCATCAAGACCTCTTGTCTTCTGTAAATTTAAGTGAGATGGACCATATAATTTGCACCACAAAGCTTCTGTTCAGAGAACAAAGACAGAAATTTTAATATTTTTAGAAGGAAATAGCTGAGCTTTCTAATTATATGCAACGTCATTACAGCAGATGACTGTGTAGACACATTAATTACTTCACTAACCAACAACCAACTTCCTATTAGTAGAACCTGAGTGTTCAAAACCACAAACACTGAGGCCAGAACTGGACAAAATCCTAAGCCAATTCCATCCACCACCCACTTTTACAACTGATTTCCCTAAGATCCATATTTATATTATCTTCAGTCACGCTCTCAGCCTCCTAAGCGGCTGCTTTTTAATAAATCCACCCAGAAAAATTTTGCCTCCCTTATTCTAACTGTATGGCCAGCCAATCATAACCTCATAGATTTATCTATCCTAACAATATCAGGTGATCTCTACACATTATGAAGATACTTGTTACATAACATGCCACACTTCCTTTATTCCTTCTGTATTCAAATATTTTTCAGAGCACTTCATCTCCAAATTCATGCTGTTTCCTTCCCTCAAAAGGTTATGCTTCACAGCCTTATAAAACACTAACAGAATTGCTGTTTAAACAGCTTGCAAAACTTATGGGGAGATTCAAGACTTTTCGTCCCATAACCCACACAGAATGGAAACAATACTAAAAGATACAGATATATGATTCTACTAAGGGCGTTCTGTATATAATGCCTCCTATTTTTTTTAAAAGAAAACTACAACAGATACAGAAATCACAATAACACAGTTAAATAGAGCAAGATTTCAGCTACTTACAGCTATTTTTCCACATAATCACCACCATTTGTTATGCACTTTTGCCATTGATGAACAAGAGCCTGTATGCCGCGCCCGTAAAAGTTTGCGCCAGCAGAGGCTAGCCACTTTCTTACAGCTGCAATGACAGCATCGTTGTCTGGAAAATGTCGCCCACGTAGTACGTCTTTCACGGGCACAAAGAGATGGAAGTCTGAAGGTGCTAAATCGGGACTATAAGGTGGATGTGGTAGGACAGTCCAGCCAAACTTTGCGATGTGCGCGGTGGTCGCCAAACTGGTATGGGGTCTATCGTTATCGTGTTGCAAGCGAAAGGTTGTCTGCTTCTCTGGCCTGACTTGGGAAATACGGGGCTTCAGCTTAGTCAGCGTCGTCTTGTAGTGTTCAGAATTGACAGTCCCTGGTCGTTATCTGCTGATCTGTTTGGATGAGACGCTGTTCATTGTGAGGAGTGGCAGCTGAGCAGGGACGCCCATGGCACGGCTTGTCATGCACTTCACTTTGGCCACTGTTGAAACGCACTACGCACCGCCTCACTGTGCTGACATCCACTGTATTGTCTCCGTACACCTTTAGCAAGTGTCGATGGATGTCAATGGGTACAATTTGTTCGGCAGTGAGAAATTCAATAACACATTTCTCTTTCATACGTACTTCTATGTCAGACGCCAATTTGGTAGACTGCTCTGCTGTCGCTATCTGTCGCACGATAACCAAATTAACAGTACATTGGCGGGAAGGTTCAACCTTTACTACAACACCACCAACATCCAGCTCAGACATTACATCATCATCATCATCAGTAATCTGTCAGACGACAGGTCCACAGTCTCTTCCAAAACAGTTTCTCCACTTAATGCAATCTTCTGTTTTTGGAAAGAGACTATCCAGGAAAAGTGATAATGTGGTAGTTTTTCCATTTGCTTTCCACATCGCAGTACAACAGCCGTTCAAACCACTCTGGTCACGCCTGTTGCTATACGAACTTGAACCATCTCGAGCATCATTTGCTCCGTGCTTCAAGTCGCTGCTGTTGACGCTGCTTCCGACATCAGTTTTTGGTGTCTCTCTTCGTCTGATGCCTACCCTTGGACCTGTCCAGCAAGGGAGGCCAGTAGCTACGCTACCGCTGGTATAGCTCTCAGGGTCCTTGGCATACTCAAACCCCCTCACCACGATAAGGTGGAGACACCAAGGAGGGGGCAGACATTACATATTAACACAAAAAAATAGGAGGCATTATATAGGGAACGCACCACGTACATCTCTGACGTTCTGGAAAATTATACTAAACTCTAAACCATATTCCTATAGTCCTGCTAGGATCTGACAACCCCTCAGAACTAGCTGCCTGAAAACAGTATTGACTGATAGCCATGTGCTGACAAGGCAAAGTTGGCAGTTATATGTTTTGCCTCATGAGTTCTGTTCTGTCACAAAGTTAATGGCTGTGCTGTGATTGCTCGATCTTCTGGATGTACATATTGCCATCTCAGGCTCAAATGCGGAAGTGACAACAGCGGTACATTTCTCCGCCTGAAGTAGGACTTGACATGTCAAATGCAGGAAGATCATTAAATCCTAGATGGATGGTAATTAATTGAATTTCAAGCAATAGTACACTCACCCCTGGTCTAGGAAGGGACATGTACACTTGCTTGCTGTCATCCATGGAACGGCCACAAAGATCGACCACATCCTTGGCAACAGCAGTCACATCCGATACCAGCGCGTCCCACATATCGGCGAAAACTGCCAACAGAACACTGGGGAAAGGGTATCCATGCTCTTAAATCCCTCCCTCCCTCCTACGTCTATCCCTGACACAGGCCGAGCATCATCATAAATTAAAGAAGCAAAACACATACTTGCTTTGTCCACTTACTGTTCTTAATTGAATACAAGACAGGCTCATTTTGTTTACTGTCAGTTAAAGGGGCACACGGTAGCGTAGTTGGTTGAGGCACTATGCTACAAGCTGGAAAGTCGTGGGTTCAAGTCCTGATGAGGTCATTAGATATTTCCAATTGACCAATCCTTCCAGCCACACTATCGCCCCGGGGTCGACTCAGTCTCTAACAGAAATGAGCACCAGGCATTTTCCTGGGGAGTAAAGCGAGGTCGGCGTGTAAGGCTGACAACCTTACCGCCATCTTTGAGCCGACTGTCTAGATAATGTAGGACCCTCAATGTCTCACAACCCTATGGGCCTTTACAGCCTGTTACAGGGATAGCTTTACTTTTTTTACTTTTTACTTACTGTCAGATAAATTCTAAAGTGTTCTGATGATGGTGTATAACACTCAGAATTACTGGGATTTTGGACTTTGTCCAAAATCCAGTATTCTAAAAATTAACCAACGTAACATTTCAGAAACTGGCTCTGTCTTCATCCTCAGGTGATTAGGGGACACCTACTGTGTTGGGTCCCTGGACCAGTGACTGGGGTTAGCTTCTTCTAAAGTACAATAGACCACTGTAGGTCATGGAGCAAGGGCCAAGAAGGCCCACCCCTCATACATTTATTCATAGCTCCTTCTAAAGCAGTGCTTCTCAATCTTTGTCAGACTGCGGCTCAGTAAATTCTTCTTTTTATAAGACAAGGGCCCGGTATAAGCCACCTTTGTGGTCTAGTGGTTAGAGTTCCTGGCTACAGATCCAGAGGTCTGGGTTCAATTCCCGGCGCTATCAGATTTATTCTGAGAAGAGGCGGGTCTGGAATGGGGTCCACTCAACCTCGTGATGATAACTGAGGAGCTATTTCAAGGAAACAGTGGTTCTGGTCTAGAAACCCGAAATTAACGGCTGTGGGGATCCGTTGCATTGACCACGTGACACCCTCTATCCGCTAAAGTTTGCACGATCTTCGCTGACAATTGGCGGTCACTCAGTCAGTATAGTTAGCTTGCAGACTAAAACCACGGAGTTTGTTTTTGTCTTGGGGGCCCAGTAAAATTGATGCCAGGGCCCAGTACCAGACTGTGTCCCAGCAGTTGAGAAACAATGTTCTAAAATACCAAACAGAGTAAGTGTCTCCTGCTCACATGAGGACAGAAACATAACAAGTTTCTGAAATGTTATGTTCTCTAGTTTTTAGAACACCAGATGATGGGAAACGTCCAAAAACTCAGTAATTCTGAGTCTGTCAGATCTTACGACCAGCCACATTTGAACATCATTCTGCATGTTGAACATTCAGAGTGCACAAGTGAACACATGTCAGCCTGCATTTCTTACCTCTCAAACAATTTACTGAGAAATATTACTCAAAACAAAGTAGAAAACAAAAGTTTGTCTCATCTAAACATTTAAATTCAGCTTATTTTTGGACATATAAGGTGTATGAATGATATGCATCTGTGCTGAAATAAATATGATTTTACAGCAACAGACTTGGGCAAACTAACCTGTATTTTTTAGTCATGCTGTCTGTTATTATTGTGCATTAAACTGTATGCTAAGTGTTAGGCACAAATACAGTGAAAACCTAATTTAAGGTTTCTTTGGGGAGCAGTGGACTTGATTACTGATTTGGAGAAAATTTTATATGGAGGAAACACCCTAAATCAAGGAACATTTAATTTGATTCCAGTGTATTAAGATTTTTAGTGTTTTCTGGTATTTCAGTTTTTATTTATGGAAAATAGTATTCCAATTGTTTCCCCCCCCCCATTAAAATAAGGGTCATATTTCCAAGAATGTAACACACAAAAACAAATCAGGTTCTTGGCCTAATATTAAATTACTTCACATATACTACAATTATTTCTTTGTTTCAAATGAACCATTTGACTCATATTACAAAACTGAAGTGAATATGAATTTCCGTTACCTTCCAAATTCTCCTTGGCAATTTTCGAGGTAGGGTGAATAGAAAGCGTATGTGCCGCAGTTACAACCTGCGGTCCGTATATCCTGAGGTTGATTTCTGCATATTTTGCCGATACTTGGAGCATATCCGTGGAAGCAGTGTGCCGCAACAATTTGCACACCTGTAAACACAACGCACACAACAGAATGTTAATATCCTGGATATGAGTTCTCACAATGGGGACTGTGAAGAATGCTGTCCACTGGGATATGACAACATGTAGTGCGGTAGAAGCTTGCTGATGTTTCACAGCAATATATCTCAAACTTCGGGGCTGATGGGTTATCAAAGCAAATAAAGTAAGCACCAACCAAGCAGTATCCTGTTTGCTTAACTTACTCTTTCACCTTGAAGATGGGGGGTAATGTATTCCTATGAAATGTCAGTAAACTCCTACCAGACCATACCACACCATAGCTCAAGCAGTTAGTCGCTGGCTTCCCACCGCGGCGGCCTGGGTTCGATCCCGGGTCTGGTCAAGTGGGATTTTTGGTGGACAAAGTGGCGCTGGGGCAGGTTTTCTCCGAGTACTTCGGTTTCCCCCGCCAATCTTCATTCCACAAATTGCTCCACAGTCACCCTCACCTATCATCTGGGGCTGGTACAATAGGCCAGAAGTGGCCCCAGTACAAGGGACTTAGTCGCACCCCACTAACAATAAAAAAAAATATATATATATGTATATATATATACCAGACTGTACAGCTTCAAATCTCAGAAATTAGTACTCTTCACAATATGAGCAATTTACTGTACTTTGCACGGGACACAAAAAAAAAATGTTAATTACTAATTCTATGACAAAGAGTCATTCTTGAATCCATTTCTCAGCTGGTCGAAATGTATTCCACTTCTACCAAACTAAAGGTTTATCACCGTATTTAAAAACAGACTGCTTGACCTTATTTTGAGCTGTTTGAATCCAGTTTACAATTTCACACATTTCTCTTCGACCCATTTTAAATAATACCTTTCCATCAATGTCTTTGTCTCCCAAGTGGCCTCTTTTGACAGTTCCTACCAAAACCTGTTTGTACCCACATCATCCTGCTTCATTTTGTCATCTTACTAGTGTTGGACAAAGAAAACAATTACGAATCTCTATGGTATGTAATTGTATGTCTTTCTGTTACTTTATCTTTCTTAGGGCCAAACAATCATGTCAGCACTTTATTCTGAAACATCCCTAAATCCACATATTTCTCTTATTCTGAGACTAGAACATCTCAGAGGGTATGTTATCATCAGACAATGATGTAGGTTGTGTCACCATTATAAACTTTTTCATTCATCCATTCATCAATGGCTCTACAGCCCTTTGTTGAGCCCTGACCTCTTCTTCAGTTTCGTAATCCTTTTTTTTTTCACAGATGGTACGACTCCTTGGATGGGGCATCAGCCCATCTCAAGGCCACTACCTACACACAGGACAACACAGACGCAGTATAAACACACACACAAACATCCATGCCTTTTGAGTGGGGTTCCAACTCACAACTGTAGTCAACATTCAGTCAAAACTGCGGTCCCAACCTGCCCATAAATCCATAAATCTTCAATGAAATTACATTTTTACAATCATTCAAGTTCCTTCCTCAAGAACTTGAATTTTAACTTACCTCTAGGATGTGTTCTATGTATTCATGAAACTTATCAGCGCATTCCATCAAACGATCCGTGTCAGAGGCTAATGCTACATTTCGAATGACATTCACCATGTCACGCCCGGCGTTCACGACAGAAGTAAGGTCTGCAGCTTGCGCCATAGTGGTGGCTTGAAGTTGGTGCCTCAGGTCACGTGTTGCCTGGAGAAGTGCCATGACTGCCTGCTCCATCTCATGGGTTGGCGAGCTGCCTTCCGTTTGTTCCTTCACCAGTGTTTTAGTTTACAGTTTAGTTTACTTAATGACAATTTCTCAACCATACAGATTATATAGTATTAAAAAGGATGAAGAAGAATGTGAATCACAAATAGGGACAGAATTGGAAGAGGAAGTTGTCATGGTCTGAACTAAAAGTTTGCTACAAGTACTATGTTTTCGGACATTATCCATCATCTTGTCTATTTCTTAAAAAACCGTCCTGTTTTTCTTTTTTTAAAACACAACATTTCGGAGACTGGATTCTGTCCCTGTCCTCAGGCAAAACCTACTCAGCCCCTAGCTAGTTCTATCTACTGGACCCAACTGAGAAAGTTTTACCTGAAGACGGAGACAGAATCCAGTCTCTGAAACATTGTGTTTTAAAATTGAAACAGGATGGTTTTTTAAGAAATAGACAAGATGATGAATAATGTCCAAAAACATAACACTTGTTGTCATGGTCTGTTTTAAACTTTATAAACCAGGAATATGGACTTTAAAATCCCTGGTATTATGGGGTTGGTAGTCATATTTTAATTTATGGATAACAATTTATCATCAAAGAAGAGAATTTTTATTCTATGCCTTCTACAGGACTGGTGGTATATTTTAACTTTTGGTGACACTATTAGTACCAAAAATATCATAAAATACACTGCAGACCAAAAAAGTTTCATAATCAGTGGACTTAATCATCTTAAGACTTTCTGTTCCAGCTATTCTGCTGCTGTCTTATCTGCTAGCCTAGTCATTATTTTCAAAGCAGGCTAGGGTTTGTACTATTTCACAGATGAGTAGCAAATTATCTACATTCATCCATGGAACCACAGAATGTAACTATATACACCATCTAGTGAGATAAAATTATGTGCATTACAAAAGAGAAATACCTTGTTTTGCTATAGCGTGTTTTTATCTGACTTTGCAGGATATGCCAGTCTTGACTAATCACTGGTAAATGACCTATCTTGGAACACAGGAACAAAAGGGTGAGCTAATAATATTGTGACGTGTTGCACTATATATGATGCCCCTCCCCCCCCACCCCGCCAGCCGTGACGCGCCGAGCGGAGCCGAAGCGAGCCAAGTCCCAGGACACTGGTCGCTATGCAACGTGGGTAAACAGTGGTTGCGAGAGACAACTCCTGACAGCGTTACCAGTAACACCGGTAAACACGGTAGCAACAGTGGCACTTATTACATGGCTATTTTCTGTGATGTCCGGAACGAGGCTAGATACGGAGCAGCAAAGACTATTCTCAGTTAGTTCCGAGCAAGCCTACGAGTCAGAGTGTGTGATCAACAGTTATCCATTTAGCCAGTGGAGAGTAACGAGTTAGCCAGCAACCAGTCAGTTGTATTCTGGCATTTGCAGTGTAGTATTTGTGATACTGCAGATAGCAGTAATTGTGGATCTGTAAATTGTGTGATTGCAAGAGCGAATGTGCAATAAATTCGCTATATCAAATAAGGCGTGAAGTAATTTGTCACGTTATACACCCAATACATGACAATATGTTTGAACCTTGAATCTGTATCACAATCCAGCAAAAGACATCGGTTGTCACACAGGTTCCTGACTCTTGCAATTATCTCTCTGCAGATTACGCAAGTCTTAATAACATAAATCCACATATTTTAGTGCCATGAGTTTGTGAACTTGCCCTGGGTATGTAAATAGTTAGTTCCACCTTTGTTTACACACACCAATATTACTTTTTATTTAAGATTTCTGAAAGTCTGATGAACCAGTACTTACCAGACTGACACCGACACGTAGCAGCTGATTGAGTTCGAGCTTAGCACGGTCGCACAACAGAAGAATGTTCTCACGGTGCTCATGGCTCGTATAGGCCGAGTCTGTGAAATCTTGTGTCCGCTCGGCTATGGTGTCCAATGCCTGAGTTAGTCGTTCTTTTGAGTCAGGTCCCAGGAGAGTAAGTCGAGTCATTTCCACGAGATCTTCCAACTGCTTCAATCCTCCAGACACGGTGAGGCTCACCTCCCAGTCATCCTGTTGAGGCACAACACCATTTCTCAACCTCAATTAGTCTTCAGGTTCCATCTTATTATATACCTCTCTGGTATTAGAACCTACATGTTCAACACCATTAACAACAAACCTCACTTAGTGCAATTCAAGTTGAATTTCAAGTTCTCATAGCGATGGTTATGAAGATTTCTATCCCCTGGGATATAACACATGAGGACTGTTGAAAGTCAACCCATGTTTCAGAGGAACATATCGCCTCCATCTTAAAGATCGAAAAAATAAGCCAAGCAAAAAAATCAGCATGAAGCAGGTAGCAAGCAGGGCATAGTTTCTTGCCAAGTATTATATTCCAAACCTGAACTCTGAAACTTTTGGCTGACTTTAAAAGGACCAAATAGCATTGTAACCCAGAAAACAGAACTGTTCAGTCCAATTCATCTTCCATTCTCAGAACCTAACCTTCGCCAACATTCACCTTCTTGCAGATTACTGTCCGCTGCGACATGATACTGCGCAGTATGGTAGAATGTTACAGAAGTTTTGGGGGAGTATTCTGCCATTAGCTTTAGGCTTCAAGAGTATGACAGTAACTTATTATTACGAACCATTACATTTAATCAATGAGATAAAATTTTATGACTTTCCGGCTTATGCTTTTGTTTTCTGCCTCAAGCAAAAAGTTCCTCTCATTTATACATGAAGACTGATAGATCATCAGTCACTATCTGAGAAATGCACTGCATTTTATTATCAGTAGTTAAGAGGTGTGTGTGTGTATTTAAGAGCAGATTTAAGGCAATTTATGCTGCATAAAAATCTAATTAAAAGTCAACAACACAGTAAAGCTATGACCTGCACATAGATCCACACACACACCCAAAAGCAAAGGTTCTGAAAGTGATTTACGACAGTAAGTCAACAGCTGTGGCATCTTAAAATTAATGGAATCATTCCAATAGAAAAGCCGAACTATGCTGGGGCCAGCCACAAACCATGAAAATCATGCAAATTAAAAAGAAATGGACACTGAAATATTTTATAATCAGAATACATGACATAAACAATGTCAGATAAATGACATAATGAACCATGTTAGCTCATTTACCAATGTTCCAGTAAAGCTCTAATTGCTTTTAGACAAACATCTCAAGTTCCACTCATAATATTAAAAAATTTTACATGAATAGAGACATATGAGAAGATCCTGAAGTAGATGAACAGACCAGTTTCAACCCTATGCATATAATATACTGTCTAGATCAGTTTGGGGTACTTGCTGCAATAAATTACCAAAACCAAAGTCTTTAGCTCATTAATCAATTAGTATTTCTATCACCAGATGGCATCTAAAGAGACATATCAATGTTATATAGGAAAGAATGGTTTTTCACATGATATATTCCTGTTATTGTTTGGAGGTCATTTGAGGAAAGTTTTTCTGTAAAAAACTGTACTTACCACAATCAGGCCAAGCATTTTTAGCAGGTAAATATGGCAGGGCTAGGCAATCAAAGACTTTTAATAACTTCTGAACACTAATAGAGGCTTGTAAGGTCCAATCCTTGACATAGAATAATAGTCAATTATAGTCATACTTTGTATCCTCTGAGAAAATCAACATGTTTTAAACTATCAAATGGGGATTAGTAAGGATTAAATGTATGTCTACAGTATGTAGGATCTGAAGCTTTGATGGTGGATAATTGCATTAAAATCTCCTTGGGCAATCACCTGTGTCAATATTGAACTAAAATCAACATTCCAAAGGTCTCCTCAGTCTCCGTCAACAAAGTCGATGACTGAGGAGATATCTGAAACACTGCTTTTAGTTTGACACTGACATGGCTAATCACCTATGAAAATTTCTGCACAAATCTGCACAATGTATGGCAATGCTGATGACAGCAGAAGCAAGACTGCATGTTAATCTTATTCAGCGAATGGTGTTCCAATAAGAGGGAAGAGAAACACAGGGGGGAAGTCTACCTCACTAGCACCATGTTGATCCACAGGAGATATGGTATCACCCAGCTGTGCAGCTGAGTCCATTACTCCATCTTTAACAACGTAATGTATCAGGTCCATAGCACGTCTCATCTGGCAGAAAACTGTGTCACGGTTCTCCCGCGCAGACGGGCAATCAGGATGCCGTAAACAAGTCTAAAAAAAAATGTAAGTCAAATTCAAAATTAGGATACAAATGTTCATAACAAGAAATACTTGCCTCTCACAACTTTGATTCGAAAAGAATTTTTGATCTGAGGAATATTTGAGCATATAAGCAGAAAACTTGTAGCATGTGTGACAAATCTACACACATATTAACATCTCATTCATCAAACTTTTCTAATAATGCATAAAATTAACATAATATATCTGAATCTAATAAACTACATATGACAAATTAAGGAAACATGAGAAAATCAACTGAAGCACACCGCCTTCTTGAATGTGATACCATGGAATTTGGCAGACATTTTCTGAGATTAAAGGAAAACATATTCCCTTCATCTTGAAGGTCACAGAGCCAAGCAAGCACAAAGCACACCACCAGACTACATAATACTAAATCCCAGAAAATAGTACTGCTCATAGTTACTACTGCAAGAACCTCAACACTCATGAGAAATTCACACTTTACGATTAACATAATCACTGTTCTCTTTGTGAAGTAAAGTGCCAAATACAAAATTCTGGCTTATGGAGTATAAGATGTTTTGATTCATTTCTGTATAACTTCATTAAAGTGGCAACTGTGCTTACATTGGCAGTGAAATGTTTTATCTTTCACATATCCTCCCAGAAAGTAAACACACAAACTTACACAGAGGGGCAAAGGTGAAAGGCAGAAATGAAAGTCAGGAACCTGTCAGAGAACACTTCAATTCCAAATTTTTCATTTAAAAAAATCCTCTGCTGATGACCCTGCTCCTGTCACCTGTTCTAAGTAACCTTCAACCACTTTAAGTCCATTAAGTTTCCTCCAATAGCAATGTTACTGACTACCCACATTACAGCACATAATTATTACTTTTTTAATGTAATATCACTACTTAATGTCATACATTTTATAAGGCTATTTCACTTTTTATTAACTCCTTCAGTGGCATTCCTGAAACTTTTATGTGATATGCTTTCTGTCCTAACTTGGCTGTGCCATAGGTCAAGCAGTTAGTTACTGGCTTCCCACCGCGGCGGCCCGGGTTCGATCCCGGGTCTGGTCAAGTGGGATTTGTGGTGGACAAAGTGGCACTGGGGCGGGTTTTCTCCGAGGACTTCGGTTTCCCCTGCCAATCTTCATTCCACCAAATTCTCCATCATCATAATCACCCGGGGCAGACTACAATAGGCCAATCAGTGGCCGCCGTGCCAAGTGGACCCAGTTGGAATCCACCCCCCACTAAGTGATTTTTTTTCTGTCCTAACTTGCAAAATAAAAAAAAAATCAGGTTCCATACTGTACCATGTTTGCTATATCCCAATGTTTTTTTTTCTGAGCTGTGTAACAATTTTTGCATGTAGTTATTACATTTCCTAGAAGATGACATGACCAAATGAAATCATCTGACATGGCTTTCTGCATGCAGTAACAATGTATGTTGTACATTAGGGAACATAAAAATATAATTTCAAGTTATCAGTGAAGGGGTTAACAACAACAAAAACAATCACAATAACCAGATATACTAATAAAGACACTGTTGAGGAACATAAATCATGTGGTCTTATACGGATGCTTTGAGGAGTGGAAGTAAGTTCAAATTTGGAGCCATGTTTACATCTGTGATCAACTTTTGCAACAAAACAGTCTTCACAAATAATTTAACCCTGTAGATTCTAAGGATTCTGACAATGTTGTATAACACTCAAGATTAATATTTTGGGGGAACTCTTCACATAGTGTAATAATTTTTAAAATACAAAAGAATATAATTAGAATCATTACAGGATGTAGAAGTAGATATTCATGTAGAGAATTATTTAAGAAATTAAAAATTCTACCTCTTCAATTGCAATACATATTATCGCTTCTCTTATTTGTTGTTTACAACAAAGATAAATTCAAATTAAATTCTGATGTCTATAACATGAATACTAGACAAAAATATAATGCGTACAATCAAGTGCGCGCCGCGGCTGCAATTTGCCGTGAGTCATACCACCGCAGAACGGATGCAACTCCTCCCCGCGACTGCAGTGCTCCTACGCCGATGGTTGCATAATCGGAACCCGAGGTTGCATTAAACAGTCAGTCTTTGTCTTGCTGTGGAAGTGGAGTGGAATGTTTACAGCTGTCGACAGACGGTGGAAATGAAGTTCACTATTAAACAGCGTGTGTTTATTGTCGAAACTATTGCAAGGAAAAACATTTACAGAAAATTCGCACGTAGGTTTCGTCAGNATTCAATTCAAAATTACTGGACTTTTCAATTTTGTCATCATTCAGCCTTCTAAAAAATAAAGAATGCAATGTTTTGTAAACTGGATCTGTTTCCATCCTCAGGTGAGTGTTTTGGAGGCACCTACTCTGTTAGGTCTGCTAGACAGTTGGTTCACAAATAAATAAACCCTGAATTTTGTAATGCAGACCTCACCTTGGAAGAGGTAAGAAGCATCATCGTCGAGCGCTCCAGTACTTGTCGCGCTGCTGCCATTTGTGCCTTTCTCCTCTCATCCTTGAGGTCATTCTGACGATCCCCTGTGAGGTGAGCAAGCTCCACCATCTCTGCCCCAAACTGGCTGAATGCCTTCACAAACTCGGTGAAGTTTGTTACACTCTCCAGCCGACCCAAGCTTCGAGCAACCTGTTCCACAGAACACAGAATTTTGTATTAAGGAGGATGGCTTTGTCAGTGGATTATTTAATGACAACATATCACCTTCAAAGATTACGGAATGCCAAATGTATGTACAAGAATGACAGTCTACATTGTCACAATATCTTAGCATTTACATGGAAGTAAAAAAAAAAAGAATAAAGCTATCCCTGTAACAGGCCGTGAAGGCCCATAGGGTTGTGAGACATTGAGGGTCACACATTATCTAGACAACTGGCTCACAGATGGCAGTAAGGTTGTGAGCCTTATGCGCCGGCCGCGCTTTACTCCCCAGGAAAATTATTTAATTAATTCCTGGTACTCATTTCTGTTACAGGCTGAGTCGACCCCAGGGCTATAGTGCGGCTGGAAGGATTAGGTCAATTGAAAAAATCCAATGACCTCATCAGGACTTGAACCCACAACCTTCCAGCTTGTAGCATAGTGCCTCAACCAACTACTGAAGAAAATTAAGGAACCTTTGAAGTAACCGGTGTTCTGAATATGAAGCAGGTGAATATTTCAAGTTAATGTATTCACTGCAATGCCTCAGGACTGGAATTTTGCCCACCTGGCCGAGTAAAATGGATACTCAACTTTTAACACATTCAAAATGTAACCTTTACCCCTCAACACGATAACAGGTTTACATGCCACAAATAAGAAATATTATCTGTATCTTTAATTTTATAAATTAATTTTGAGTTGTTGTTGCTGTTATAATGCACATGAATTCTATGAGTAAAACAATTTCAAATTACAGTATTTCTTTTATACCATTAGATTATAATTTTGTGTCGAGAGTTATTCTTTAAGGCAGTTCTGTTTGCACCTATAAAATAACTGTCACCATATATAAATATCAAATTTAAACTATTTAATTGGAAAAACTTATGTGGGGCAGTCAAAAAGTTCCCGCAATTCCCCCGCAGATGGAGAACAAGTGATAAGATAGCGCATACACTGTTGTGGCGGGGAGCTCAGCATGTCTGCTTGCAGGCGCAACAGGTCTGGACAGGTTTCAGTGTGCAGTGTCATTACTGTCCCATTTGAATTAGATTTGAGTGTTGGTCATTCAGCGCAATGTCGCAGTTCGAACAGCATGCCAACATCAAGTTCATGTGCAAATTGGGAAAAACTGCTTCAGAGATGCTATCGGCCCTGCAGCAAGTTTACGGTGATACTGCACTAAAGAAATCTGCAGTTTACGACCGGCTTTCCAGGTTTAAGAATGGGCAGGAGGCATTGGAGGATGAACAGTGCAGCGGGAGACCTTCAACATCCACAACTGAAGAAATGATTGGAAAAGTGTTACAACTCATTCAATGTGATCGACTATTGACAATCGCGGAGTTGGAGCAAGACGTTGGTACTGTTATTGGCCGTTTCTATGTGCAAGTTTTGCAGAGGTTGCGCGATGCGGTTTGGAGGAAGTGGTGCGACAAGAGGCAGGGACAGTGGTTTCTGCATCACAATAACGCACCGAGCCACACATCGCTTGTTGTGCAGCAATTCATTGCCGAGGAAAACATTCCTGTCATCACTCAACCACCGTACTCTCTGGATCTCATTCAGAGTGACTTTTGGCTGTTCCCTACTCTGAAAATGGGTCTCAAGGGAACACGTTTCACAACTATGGAGGACATCAAATCAAATGCGACAGCTGAGCTCCGGAAGATTCCAAAAGAGGCCTTCCACAGCTGCTTCCAACAATGGCAGGATTGATGGAGCAAGTGTGTGCGCGCACAAGGGTCCTACTTTAAAGGTGATAGGTAAGCATTGCCGTATGTTGAACCATTAGAGTGCTATACAACCATTCCGGGAACTTTTTGACTGCCCCTCGTATGACTTTTGTGGGGTTTTCTCAGAGATTCTTACTCACTGTAATTCTCATGTTTATCTTCAACAAGAACTTTCCTGAAACACTGCAATCCTCACCTTGTCCTTCGCAAGTAGCAGCTGTTTTACAACTACGACATCTGCCAGCAGCAGAACTCTCGTGACGGAGCCAAGCAAACATCGCGCAGCCCGGACAACAGCTCCTCGGTCTGTCAGGGAATCTTCCAGAGCAGCCTCACATAGCTTTTCAATAGCAGTGCCTGCGAACACAGGCGAATTATCAAACCCTGGAGTGACTATAACAACACACCAGCACAGAAGTCTAGGGTTGAAAATGTTCCAAGCAACAGCTTCTGCCAAAGAATTATACTCGATACACCATAACATTTCCATCAGCACAAAGATACATCAACTTAAACCTAAGAATTTGTCCCTTTCTAATGCCTCTTGTTCTGAACAATTCTTGATTTCTGCCAGGCACGTCAGAATAAAACAATCTGTGATGTGGAAGTACCCACAGGGTACAGATGAAAATAATAAACCCACAGACCAGTGCGGACTCTAAACAATGTGGGACTGACAGTACTTATAGCAGTCTGGTATTTACCAAAATGAAATTGACCAGACAACTTTTAGCATAAATTCAAATACCAAACTTCAATGATACATGAATAATGGTTTGGAAAATTAATCTTGCAAACGCACAGCCAGATATGTAGATGTTACCTCCTATTACATGTTCATTTTATGTGCTTTGTGTAAAGAATGCATGAAAAATTGAGCTTACCAGCTGCACGTGCCTCTTTGCATGCCTCGTACATATCCTCCTTGATCTCAAGGTTGTCATCTGCTATTGTTTCCCCCACTGTGACAAACCTCTCCACAGCCAGATTCACAGCCTGCCCAACCCGTGCCACAGCCCTCAGACTGCGCTCTGAACATAGTGGCCGTTCCCGATGGGTCACTAGAGTCGAGATCTTCAGAAGATAATTACATAAAATTAGAGAAACACAGAAGTTTTGTCAGAAGCTGGCAAGAGAATCAGCTTAGAACTAAACACAAAAATACATTGTGTACATTTATTATTTTTGTTTCTTTATTTGGAACCGCCTCTGTGGTCTAGTGGTCAGAGTTCCTGGCTACAGATCCAGAGGTCCCAGGATCGATTCCCGGCGCTACCAGATTTTCTGAGAAGTAGTGGGTCTGGAACGGGGTCCACTCAGCCTCGTGAGGATAACTGAAGAGCTACTTGAATGGAAAAGTAGCGGCTCTGGTCTAGAAAACCGAGATTAACGGACGTGGGAATTCGTTGCGCTGACCACATGACACCCTCTATCCGCTAAAGTTGGCACTAACTTCACTGACAAGTGGCGGTCGCTCAGTCGGTATAGTTCAGGTGCGGACCAAGGCCATGAAGTTTTATAGTTTATTTAATGATGCTCTTGGTAACTCAAATTATAGAGCATCAAAAGAACTGGATGATGGTGGACAATAAATTGGAAAAAATGTGGAAGGAAGTAGTCATGGCCTAACTTAAAGTACTAGCCTGGCATTTGCCTGGGGGGAGTGAGGAAAACCATCATTATCATCAATCAGGATTGTCTGTGTTCCAGCCAAAATTTGAAACGAGCACATCAAAATACATGCTACAAGCATTTCCAATGGAGACAACTTGCCTGGTTATACATTTCCAGGACAAAGTCACATTATATAAGTATCTGGATCTTACAGAAATGTAATACAAAGTTTGGACTGAATCCACTAGGCTGAAGTTCGTAAATAATGGCTAAAATTCTGTGAACACATTCCATAACAGAACTGAATACCTCTACTAATTACGTAACTAAGAGTTTTTCAAGAAAGACATTATACCATGTGGTGAATTTAGTGAATATCGAATTTCAGTGTCATCACAGGAACACTTCCAAATATCTGCGGAGACGTTAAACACCTGTGTTCTTCACCCCAGACATCCTCCAACTGTATAATCCTCACGAAAACTTGCTGTAGTTCCTGATTCCCTACAAGTTCTGTGTTAAAATTCATATGGCTGCTTTATGTTGAAGCACTCTGCCAATAGATTAAAATATTTATGTTGAAGTAATCTGCAAGAGTTCAAGTACGTCCGCATTGCCATGATGGTTTACTGAGAGAAATGACTGGCTGTGGACACAGAGTCTGGGATTCAGTTCTCAGCATGAACAAGTATGTTGAGTATGAGGGGTGAGCCATAAACACCAGCCCTTGTACTGTGACCATCAATGGTCTATTGTGCTTTCCCTTTGGATTAACCCTTTATTAATCCTACACTTCGAATGAAATGTAGAACTTTATTTGTGGGGGAGTCATAAAAGTCACTTAGTTCCATGAAGAACTGGCCCAGGTGGCGATATCTTAAGTAAGCTATAGCCTCACAATCACACAAGATGTGTGTGGCTGATTCATCTTCTTGTAGGCACCTTTCACAAGTTGGTGGTCTGTCAGTCCCAGTTTGGAAAGGTGCCCCTTTAGGTGGCAGTGTCCGGTAAGTAATCCTACCACCCATCTTAGTTCAACAGGTCCCTCATTCTTTTGGCAGAGGGTCCTGATATAAACCCTTTTGCCTGTTTGAGTCCAGTTGTGGATTCCCAGTGTTATGGACAAGTATGTTTCTTTGTAACATACACGGTGTGTCCAGGATCCATTAGGAGTCTTTTTTTTTTTTAATTTGCCCTGCAATGCCATCTGTTGGCGAGTTGTGGCGTTAAGATTCTTGAAGTTTCAGCTGTGGCTGTCTATAATTTCAAAGCGCAAGCATCGCTGCATCATGTGTTCTGACCTTGAATGTAACAATACTGTTCTGACGCTCGTCGGAAAATGGCGGTTGAACAGAGAACCAACATCAAATTTTGTTTGAAGTTAGGCAAAACAGACGGAGAAGCATACAAAATGATGAAAATTGTGTACAGTAGTGATTGTTTGAGTCGCTCGAGTATTTTTCGATGGTATGCTGTATTTCGTGATGGCAGGGAGGACATTGAAGGCGCTTCACGTGCATCAAAGGCGAGAACAAGTGGCATTGAAGAAAATGTGAAAAAAAAAGTGACCAAAATCCTTGCATCAGACTGATGTGTTTCTGCAAGACTCATCAAGGAGCTTTTTGGAATACCAAAAAGTACTGCGTATCAAATTTTGACCCAGGATTTGGGCAAATGGAAGGTCTGTGCGCGGTTTGTACCGCACGCGCTGTCAGGCAATTAAAACCATGCCAGAGTGGAATACTGCAAAGACATGTTACGGTCGGCCCAAAGTGATACAAAATTTACAAAATCGATTACTACTGGTGATGAGACATGGTGTTTTCAACATGAGCCTCTCACAAAGCAGCAGAGTGCAGCGTGGTTGAGCCCAAAGACGCCGAAACCAAAGAAAGTGCGTATGCAAAAGAGATGAGTAAAGACACTGCTAACCGTTTTCTTCGATTCCAAAGGAATCATTCACATGGAATTTCTGTCAGAAGGTCAAACAGTGAATTCAGATTATTATCTCAGAGCCCTCAATCGTTTGTGGGCGAGAATTCTTCTAATTCGACCTGAATATTGAGAGCAAGGTTCCTGGTCGCTCCTCCACGATAATGCCCCACCCCACAAATCGAAGATCGTGCGCGATTTTTTGGTCAGAAAAGGGTCCAAAGTCCTTGATCATCCTTCGTATTCGCCAGATTTGTCTTCAGCAGATTTCTGGTTCTTCCCAAAAGTTTAGTTAGCGATGAAAGGACACCGTCTCGACACCATCCAGGGCATCCAAAGGGAATGTACCGCAGTTTTAAATGCGATTCCACAAAAGGAGTACGGTGACTGTTTTCAAAAACTTTTCAATTGATTCCGGCTATGTATTGATTCAGAAGACTATTTTGAATAAAAAGAGTGAAATTTTGAAAATAATTCACGTCTTGTATTTTTAATCAACACAGTCCTAACAGAACCTGGACACACTGTGTACATGCAGGCTCTGGGCCCCCTTATTAAATAGGTACCAAGCGCTAGTTCTCCACTGGGTAATGTGTCCAAAGCGTGAAGTTAACAGCACATCACAAATGTGTGAAGCTTTAGCATCAGCCAGTATAGTTAAATAAAAAAATTAGTCCATCAATAAAAACGTAATGTATTGGGCACGCGGTAGCGTAGTTGGTTGAGGCACTATGCTACAAGCCGGAAGGTCGCGGGTTCAAGTCCCGATGAGGTCATTGAATTTTTCTCAATTTACCTAATCCTTCCAGCCGCACTATGGCCCTGAGGTCCACTCAGCCTCTAACAGAAATGAGTACCAGGAATATTCTTGGGGGTGAAGCGCAGCCGGCGCGTAAGGCTGACAATCTTGCCGCCATCTGTGAGCCGACTGTCTAGAAAATGTGGGAGCCTCGACGTCTCACAACCCTATGGGCCTCCACGTCCTGTTACAGGGATAGCTTTACTTATTTGCTTTTTTTTTTCTACTTTTAAGATGTAACAGCTCATGATATTGGTATATTAATACAATGGCTGTCTGCACATTATCTAGCATCCTGTTATTATCCAGAACCACGCTTTGGAAACTGGACTCTGTCCGTGTCAAGTAAAAAGCCTACTCAGCTGGGCCCAATCAACAGAGTTAGTCCCTTTCTCTGGACACCTTGGACACCCTGTGTATCTTATGTAACAGGTGCACCAACATTTTGTAACCTTATATTATTTACATCACAAAAAAAGGCAGCAGATAAATAAGTGGAAGATTAAGTTATAACGTGGTGTAGTCTGGTAAAAATCTAACTATGTGGCATTAAAACCCTGAAGACTGTAATCTTCACGCTGGTTCCTCGCTCGCGGATTTTCTTTTTTCTTCTATCCTGAAGATGGAGGCGATACGTTCCTCCGAAACGTTGTTTAACACAATATCTACACGGCACCACATCCCAGAAGACGGCATTCTTCATAGTGACCGCCGTGAAAACCTCAAATCTTACATAAGCAAAAGGAGTTTCGAAACCAACTTGACCAAAATTTCATCCATCTGTGGGGAGAAGAGGAACACTGATTCCGACATGAGAGAGAGAGGGAGAGAGAGAGATGGCGGGAGAACTGCCATCAAAGACGCAGATGATGCGGTCGATCATGGAGCGTCTCTATTTACTGACCAAGTTCATTCAAAACATAAAACACTACTTAATGTTGTCCGTGGGCGTAATAAAGCACCAAACAATGAAGACGTGTAGGGGCTTCCCCTATTCTCCTCACGTTAGCTGCCGTGTGACAGCGTGACCTACTGAGGAGGGGGGGGGAAACTTAAATCACTTACGGCCATATTATAAACGTTGCAGCTGGCACCTGGAGAAGGGTCCTTAAGTTATATGGTGACATCCAGTGTCATCCTCAGTATTAGACGGAGGAAAGCGCTCAAATTCACGCCCCGGCCGTTCTACCTCAAACGAAACAAACCCGGAACACAGTCAGGATGTGGTGGGAACTTCCGGGGGTCTACCAGCCTGTAGCCTACTCACTATAGTGACTGAGCTATCCCGATTCCCATCAAACACTACACCAACTTGATAGTGATAAGGTCATACCTCTACATGTGTTATAGTCTAATTCCTGTATAGCTCCACGTAAAGTCAAGGAGGATGAGGTGGACAGGGCATGTAGCACGAATGGCGGAGAAGAGAAATGCATATAGGATACTGGTGGGAAAGCCAGAAGGAAAGAGTCCACTGGGGAGACCAAGGCGTAGGTGTGGGCAATATTAAAATGGATCTTAGAGAGATAGGATGCGATGGTATGGATTGGATTCATCTGGATCAGGATACGGACCTGTGGAGGGATCTTGTGAACACGGTAATGAACATTCGGGTCCGCAAAATGTTGGGAAATTCTTGAGTAGCTGCAGAATTGGCTTCTCCTCAAGAAGGCCTCAACTCCGTAAGTAGGTTTTTTTATTGCTATTGGGGTGAGACTAAGTCCCTTGT